CAAATAGTTTCAAGGGAATTGTAGAAACCTTAAAGAAGTTGCGAGAAACTCAGGGAATTTCCGGAAACTTCAGCAAAGCTCCGAGAGAATTTTTGGAACGTGTTAAAAATTATATGAACATCCGGAAAACGGATTTTAAGCGTGTTATACTATGGGGATTTCAAGAACTTAAAAAATGCGAAAATTTAGCTAAATTGATTAGAGAAAATCAACGAAGTTCCATTAATTGAAAAAATGCGAGGACTTTTATCAAGCTGTGAACAAGAAATTCAAGAGAACTTCTTATAAATTTAGATACTTTTAGATAGTTTCATGATATTCAGCGAAGTTCCGAGTACTTCAAGGATGATCAGTAGACTGATGCAAATTTTGACATTTTCGCTCCACAGTGCTCATACGGTTCCAAATCGGGTCCTGATTAGTCTCCCAAAATTTGAACTCATTTGCAAAGAAACTGACTTGGCACAAACCATTTGAAGTTTATATGGAAATTACTATGGGAAATCAAAACTTTTTGTTCATTGTCTTCTTACCTTTTTCCATATTGCACTGTTCAAAAATTCAAAAGCTATACTTATGGAAAATTTTCTCAGCTTCAACTTAGCAGAATATAGTTGTGGAGCCAAACGTCAAATAAAATAGTTATTAATTGTTTAAGAGATTGATAATCTTATGGCATGATCAAGCAGCTGTTTTGTGAGCAACACTGTATCTTGCAGTGTGACATAGTAGCCATGATTTTTGTGCTCTATTCCAAGCACCAGAAACACCAATGTTGCCTGCTGAACAGTTGATTGAGCATAATTGTAAGACATTAGTGGCTTGAATTATTGATAACTTTTGATGCTTAAATTATATTGAAAAGTGGTTGAGGACAAAGTTGTAGCTGAGAAAGTTTTCTACGAGCTCAGTCATCATTTTTTAAAACAGAGCGATATGGTAAATTGTTAGATGGATATGAACAATACATTTGGTTTTCCTATAGTAATTTCCATATAAACTTCAAATGGTTTGTGCCAAATCAGTTTCTTATCGAATGAGTTCAAATTTTGCGAGACTAATCAGGACCCGATTTGGAACCGTTTGAGCACTGTGGAGCGAAAATGTCAAAATTTGCATCAGTCTAATGATCAGATAGCTTCAGAATAATCCCATTAACTTAAGCAAATTTGCAGAGACTTACAAAGAGTTCCGTAGAATTATGGGGTATTCCATGAATTCTATGATTGATCCGAAAACGTCAGAAGCGTCAGGGAATAATGAATATATATCAGAAAATTTGCCGGTTTATTAAACAAATTTAGAGAACTTCAGCTAACCATAGATAAGTTCAGGGAAATTAGTGAGCGTTTATAATGGTTATAATACTTAAGGAAAATTATCGAAACTTCAAGGCAACGTTAGAAACATTGAGGAAACTTTAGGAAGTCCCATCATGTTCAGGGAAGTTTAAGAATTTGATGAGAAGTATTGTGAGTATCCGGCTAGTTTCTCAAACTACAAAAAAATTTCAATGCAGTTTCATTAACTTCAGGAAAATTAGGGAACTTTTAAGTAGTTCTGAAGACCTCAGAATAGTCCATTCTGATTTCCATTAAAATATTCCTCAACATTTCAATAAAGCTATCCTCCTAATTCAATTTTCTTTTAGTTTTCCTCGGAATTACCTTGAAAATCTCCTTTTGAATCTCACTCCTTCCCTTGGAATCCTACTCACATTGAAAGTCTCGTAAGAATTCAGTGGCATTTCTCCTCACAAATTCCTTAGATTTCTTCTCATAATTTGTTTGGCAAACCCTCCTGAATTTATTTTCCGAATTCCTTTGAAGATGTTCTGGAGTTATTCTCAGATTTAATTGTAATCCTCCTTTTGGTATTTTCAAAAAGATTCCAAGGACTTATGCTCCGGATTAGTTTTCTCCCACAACTTTATAAAATTATCTTCAGAAGGTTCTTGGAATTTTGCTCTGAAGGAGTTGTGCTCCTCAGAAATTTTCAGAGTTTTCATTAAAATTAGCTCTTAATTCAATTCAGGGGTTCTTGAAATTCTACTCAAAACTTTCAGGCTTCACAAGAAATCTAAAATTCCTCAGAACTACCTTAAAAGCAGATTGCATCTGATGTTTTTTCTGAAAGATTTTTTCCCAGATCTTCCTTGAAATGAGGTCCTTAGAAATTATAATAAAATTCCACGAGCTTTTAAAACTGTGCATGTGTTTTTCTTTAAATATCCTTAGTATGAAAATTATTAAATTCTCTGAGCCTTCCAGGTATTTTAAAGAAAATTTAAATTTCCTGAGGATTCCCGGTTTTCTAGGTTTTTGCAGTTAGTAGACGCCCTGACTAATGCCGTGGGTTTGGCCATAAACTTTCTATTGAATCTTTCGTTTTAAAGGTTCATATCGTACATAAGTGTTTATGAGATACTTGTTGAATAAGTCTAAAACATCAAACATTTACTTTGACTATCTGTTTAGCATTACTTCTGCGTGAAGTCAACGATTTACATAGTTGAAGATGCTAATTTCAAATAACAGACATTACCACTTTAGTCAGTTATTTGAAATTAGCATCTTCACCTATCTGACATTTATTTTCTCTCAGGTCACTTTTGAGTCACTATTTTTACAACTATAAGTCACTATTTGGTCACTTATTTCTTCAACACGGTCAATAAAATTACTATTCACAGCTGTCAAACTGTGAAATTTCCATCAAGAGTAGTCTTATTTTTAGATTACCTACAGATCTGAACTAAATTACAGCTCAAATAACCATACATTAAAAATCTATAGGTTCATAACCGCAGGGACAATTTTATAAATCTTCAAGCACCAGCAGGATCACAGCAAAATCAATACAGGAAACAAAATATTCTACGTGGATGACGATTTCAAACACCTGCGGTTGATAAATTAATCAGGAAAGGTGAAAATATTTTCCTATGCTTCACGGCGCTCTCGTCACTCCTTTGAGGGTTCCCCTATTCACTGCTGGCTGAAACGATCGCTTAGTTTCTATTGGATTCGCCTATTATTGATAGGGGTAAGCAAGTGAAGAAGGGAAATTTTTCTTGTATTTCACGCGCAATCATTCAAAAGGCCCAATTTAATCGGCCAATTCTATTAATCGTTTTTCACTTTGGATGCTAAAACTTTTTCTGATGACTTTTTGCGTTCACTTGTGAGTTTTTGAGAAAAAATCATTTAGAAAGCCATGTATTTTTTTTTTCAAATTTCATGTTATATTTATTTTTAGTAATCTAAAAATTAAATTATTCTTCTGGAAAAGATACGCTTTTTAATAGAAACAGACATAGAGACATAGGAAGCGGAACACTTTTTCACATTTCCTGATAAATTGATTCATCTGAGATGTTCCCAAGCTTGATCTACAGTTGAAAATTTTAATTCTGTATCGTTTTTGCAAGGATTCTGCTGGTGCTAGGAATTAATCTACGGTTTGGCATACGGTTTACCAACATCGAAATCGTCCAAAAACAGCGAATATTGAACGTACGTGAATAATTTCCAATAGGATAGTGCCCCTCCCCCTTTGGTTGATGCCTGTAGCCGCCTATGACCTTAACCCATTGATACCCAAGGTTTTTCACAATTCAAACAAATCATTTATTATGAACAAAAGTAAAAGTATTTGCAATCTAATCCCTTCAGTTTGATCCTTGAATTTCATTCAAAATTGCCAAATCAAATAAGCTTTGTTTTCAACCTTCAGCCCACTTTAGTGTACGTGAGATCTTGCACAGAGAAGTCAATAGCCTATGTTTGTGACGAAGAATGAATAGTTGTGTGATTTCTCGAGCGTATACCTAACTGTTTTGATTGTTGAGACATCGAATAATGTGTCAAATATCAGAAACAAGTAAATTGCAGGTCAGCCAATATAAAACTGAAATGACTGTATCCCTTTAAATAATACCCTATTGAACCATTATAAAGAGCATTTTCATTGGTTAATATTTAGACATGAAGCAATGGCATTGAAAGTTTATCTATAGATCATCATCGGTTCCAAACTTCATGAAAGTCACGTAATGTCAAAGTGAACTCAATCGCCGTTTAAAAACACTCTTCGGAGCATCAAAAACATGGTATTTAAATTAATCAACTCAATTGTTCACTCTGGTTGTATCCTACAATAATGGATCCACACAAATCTTCCTATCGATTATCCAGCCATACAGGTATTAAATCACCCAAAACGGTGAACCGTGCAGAACAAGTTTAATAATAGAAACACCCTATACCTACCTCCAAGCTCAAATAGATAAGGTTCGATTACGGGGTTGAAGGACTATACAAAAATTAACAACCCATGAATAATGAATCCCCATTTGTCACAACTCCGTTGGAGTGAAGAGAAACACTTGCCCGAACGTGGGTTGGGACATCCTTCGAAAGCGCTTCCTTTCCCGTCCGTCGTCTGCATGGCATCTCGTATCAATCATCCACACCGTCATCGTGAATCGTAATAACAAATTACTCCGGCTCTCGCCCTTACCGTCGTATTTACTCTCACCTGAAGAAACAGGTAAATTGTCCTTCAAAAATTGCGTGCGACTAATAAACCCCAATGGTGAAGAAGAACGAACAACGACGACGACGGCAGCGACGGTGGTGGTTCACGTGTTGATTCGTTGTACAATTGAGAACATTCGCTAAGTAAAGGGGTAATGATGAATTTGACCGTCCCGGTAGTGACCGGACGGCTGCGGCGGAAAAGCATTGCCGCCGAGGTGGTTCACTGTCTTGCGGACCTACGGCTGGACAATGACGAGAGTGTCTCCTCCGGAGGACACCATCATGGAAAGCACGGCAGCAAGCGACGGGGCAGCCTGGGAGGGGAACCGGTGCGAAGGCCTTCGCTGGTTTCCAGGTAGTTTGAGTAGTTGTTGTGGAATATGAATAGATTGCTTTTCTCCATGGCTTAAGAATTTTTAAGGATAATTTTTAATCATGTTGTATTTCTTTTTTTTACAGATGGTTCAAGCACATATCGGACGCTGCCGATGCGTACAAAGCACGTACCAAAGGAACGCACGACTACAACGAGGATCCCTCGGGCGGCTCGGGTCAGCAGCCGAAGGATAGCTTCGAAACGGTCACCGAGACGCAAAAGATCGAAACAACCACGGCACCGATCGAGCGGTTAGAGCGTAAAGACAGCAGCCATCAGTGTCGGGCCGTCAGCACCGGCGGCAGTGTCACCAGTAGCCATGGTCACGCGACCGGTCCCAACAGTGCAAGTAGTGGTTTGAACAACAATGAAGATTCGCTTCCGAACAAGAACCGGGCGATAAACGAAAGCGATGACAACACCTCGAACGAGGAGAAGGAGTTGATCAAGCGGCGAAGTCAGCTGGAGTCGTCGGCATCGCAAGATGTACCCAGTGATGACGAACGGCCCAAGGATGAGGACGACCAGGGTCAGCAGCGCGGAAGTCGCGGTATAGTGAATAACACGCGCACCCTAACGCAGCAGTGTTTGCTGGTCGCACCGAGCGAGATCCATGTCAGTGTCAGCAACGCGCTGACCGCCGAACCGATATTGACACCTTCAGGTAAATATTGTTCGAGTGCGCTATATTTTACTCTCCGTCTGCCTGCCGCACTCCGGGACTGACGGGACTTTAAAATACTTTATATTGCGGGCGTGGAGAGGCGGATGTGTTTACTCGAACGGATGTGAGTCAATTGAGTATCGAAATGAGGCCACCCCCGCGGGATAAATGATCGGAAATTGCAGAACGAATCACCATTCATTCATGAGAATGAGAAATGGTAGTAGATTCAAATCATTGGTGCAGAATACGTTTCTACGCAGTCTTCCAAAAATATGTATGGACGATTTTTGGGGGTGTCTAAAACCTCTCAAAACAGTCTCCGTAGTTTATGAACAGCCCCTCATGCAAAGTTTCAGAAGTTGATCAATTCAAAATGTATGGTAAGATGGGACAAGATTGATTTATTAATTTCTTCGATTGTCAACATGAGCAGGTTGAAAAAGTAAACCATTACTGGGGTTGCGTTGAACTTGCTAATTTTTAAAAAACAAATAATTTAACAAATGTACTTGTTTTACCCCGTGACCCACTTGCCGCACCTTACCCTACTTCAAACCTGATTCTACCTTTGCACTCATATCAATTTTGGTATATGCCTACTCCGACTACCTAATCCTAATCTAAAATTCAAATATCGAAATCAGTCGACTTAAGTTTGCTGCATACAAACTAAATAATATTTACAATCGTTTCAATTCGGGGAAAACCTTCTTCCTACGCTTCAGGAACATGCAAATTTTATTTATGGACTCACTAGAATGTACGCAAGATAATAGTCCATCCACTGGATCAATAAACAGTCAGTTCCAAAATGTTCAATCGAAAGATTCCAGCTCAAACAGATAAACACACACGTCCCGTTTTAGCGCTGCCTCTTGCCGCCGTCGATCGACCGCTCTCCCTCCCGATACTCGATCCGGCTGGGTTGAGATAGGTTATTCGCCAGTGTTTATTATTCGATCATCCATCGTACCAATTTCGCCTGTTTGGTGCTGAATTTGGCAAAGATTGTATTCAGCCGGTTGACACACCGAAGATAAACATATACATTTTTGGATAATATGAAAACAGGCTTCCTTGAAAGTGACGATGACTGCATCTGAAATCGCACTGCGAATAAATGAATGAATGTAAATTGTATTTTGCTTGCAGAAAAACTCCGCCGCCTTGACCTGGCCATCCGGAAGACGCTGGTCGAGAAGCAGCGGGTCGTATGTGATATGTTCAAAGTGCCGGATGAGCACTTCCTGGCGATCGCCGACATTGCCGGCCAACCGGAAGCGCCCCAGAAGGAACCGACCGACATCATCCTGGCCGCATTTGCCCACATCCAATCGTTGACTGACGTCTTGAACGAGCACATGCGGGTCACTCAGAGCCAGGAGATTTCGGCCGTTTCCACATCAGTCTGTGATGAGTGCAATGGCGGTAGCAGTACGATGGGCGGTGGCAAAGCGATTGCCGCTGTCGCTGTAGCTGCCACCGTAGCTAAGAATACGACCGCGACCAGCGGCGGACAACCGGAGATTAACGGTACCACGATTGATCCCACGAGTAGTAGTGCGAATGCCCAACCCACCATAGGAGTCCCACCGATTTCATCCGTACTGCAGCAGCAAGGCGATGAGGTCAGCATTACCGAAGACGAGGACGGCTACTGCGAGATTGATGAAGTTAGGTAAGTATCTTCCTTCTTTTCTTATCAGCAATTTAGTGACAGTTTGGTTATTCAACGTTCATTTTCAACAATGCAGGGCGGCGGCCGTTCTACTGGAATCTCAGCGAGAAGCTGAAAAACTCAGAAAAGCAGAAGCGGAAGCAAAGGCAGCAATGGATTCCACCACGCTGCTGGACGACAGCGGTGGCGGTGATGGTGGTCCCAAGTCGCCGGATTCGCATATCGAAATCAATGATAATTACGATACCACTCAGGTAAGCTGCTGCGAGGAAGTTTTATTGGGATAAATGATCACACTGTTTTTGTTTTCCTTTGGTGCCACACCAGAATCACCTGCAGCCCAAATTCACCGGAGTGGATCTGTGCGGTAGAAATCGGCTACTGCACGTATCGTCCCTGGTGCCAACCGTACCGTGCCATCTGATAGCGAGCTACGTGTCTGGTCTGAACGCGCAGATTTCACAGCTATTGGTTAGTATTTTGATGCGCGTGGGTCTACATTCTGGTCAGTCTGAAATTGCATTCTTTTTTTTCTAATTACAGCCAAAAATTAGTGAACGAGACTTAGAGCGAGAACAACTGAGACGGGAAAATCAGCATTTACGGGAACTATTGAATGCAATGCATCAAGAGCGAGTTTTAGAATCACAGGTAAAATTATCATTACTATTATATCTATATAAGTCAGGGGGACTGAACGCCAGGGATAGACTTTAAAGCTCATCACCGCTATCAGAAGTTTTACGAACATAGGTAAAGCGTGGATACCGAAGATTATCTATTTCTTGGTGGAGGAAGTTTCCTCTACCAACAAACGATTTTTGTATTCACTATGTTCATGGCTGTTCAATATGGAAATGTAATTAATCGAATTATAAACCTAATTAAAAGCATTTACAAGCCATCCTATGCTTACATTGATGTCATCTGAGCGCTATATATTGTACAGCCAATTTTCAAATAAATATCATCCTTTATTTGGATGACAGTCGTATGAATGCTAATCAGCTGATGACGAATTCAACCATAAGGCAATCACCCGAAATTCGAAAGCATAGTGTTAGAGGGCTGGAGCAATCATTCGAAGTATTGCGGATGTTTGCGTTCAGTGTAGTTTGGTAGGTGGGGTTTGCTCTACGTAGCAGTCAACAGGCCACCCTAATAAAATTTGTATGGTTATTTTGCTTAACGACGTGTTCAGGGTATCATCCAAACCATTTGTGGCATAGTTATATAATATGGGTTATGGTTCAGTTAGATTTTGATAAGTCTTTAGTGGGAATGACACTGATGAAGACTACACAGTGTAGTCGAAATACATATCTGTCATGGATACCAACATTAATTAAGTGGAATTAAATGGAAGATAACCTTTTTAGCTGTTTCATTAAAAAAAAACTACAAGGGACAGCCCTATGGGGTTGTACGCAATGGTGACGTAGGACTACGTGGTCTTATATAATAAACGTTATTTGTTAACTGCAGCAGGAACTTGTGTTTTGTGTAGGAATAGAAATTTGAGCGGGGTTCTCTCTGCTTATATTCTTTAGTATGACTATGATTGCCCTGAAAACAACCTTGCGATATGAAATTTAGTTGAACATGTTAAGAAATTTAACTCTTTTTGAAAGTCTTGGTGGCCCTGAAAAGGGCCGATGGTAGTACTGGCTTTAAAGCCTTTGGAACATGATGATGGCAGCTGGATCAGCAAATCGAACCGAGCAATCCTATGCTCTTCGGTTCAATGATTGGGCACTCGCAAGAGTCTCGACCCGGCTACTGCTGGACAGGGATTGAACTGGTGTCTGCGACAGGTTAGAAGGCCGCATAATATCAGTGTCCACCCAGCTTAAGCTCCTCCCCTTTTTAGTTTTTCTCTCAACAAGTTGATAAAACTTAGCCTTTAGCAGAAATACGTTTAACACTTGTTTCGGCGAATTTATGATCCTGTTTCACGTCATGGTTCTTCTCTTTACCTGTATAGATAAATTAGTACTTTAATTTATTTTCTCTTCTGCACTAAATCAAACGAGTAGAAATAAGAAGAGATGTCAGTTACGCGCTCGAATAATTAAAAACGACAGGATTTAAGAAGCAGAGGGATGAATGTCAATTCTCTTCATCGATTTCCTCTTTTGATGACCATGGCTTCACTAACCCATTTTTGCGCTATTTCTGCTATGATCTTCAATCATCCAGAACAACAAACGTATCAATGAATGTGTTTGCCGTCGAGTTATTAACGAAACAGAAAGTCGATAAGGAGAATCGATCAAAATCACTTGCACCCCTGCTTCCAAGTTTGGTTACAAGATTACAAGATCGGAGGCGAATGCCACTTCGATTTGTTTCGTCTACTAACGACTATCTGATAACTGTGTTGGGGAAGCAGCAATGCTACATCGACATTTTTCGACTAGAAACGATTCTCTGATGACTGTGTTGGGGAAGCAGCATATGCATGTACGTTACTGGTGGATTTGTTTGTTATTTCGATGCTTTTGGACAATGCTTGACATTTATCACTTTTTGAATAGTTTCTTGTAGACAAAAAAAAAAGAATCGCTATCGATGCGTAGGAATAGTTTTGATCGATTGGTAATAAAAATATTTAAATTGATCCACGGGCAGCTGAGTTATTAACATTCAAAATCTTTCATAATTTCGTTACATGTTCCATTTTTGGTTTTCACAAAGTGTACCCCCATATAGAAATCACAGACGTAGTCCTACGTCAATAGAAAAAAAAATAAAGTGGAGCTGATCATTAGGTGAAACTGGTATGCTCCCATTCAGAGTTATGTACTTTGACTATATGTTTTAGTATTACTTCTACGTGAAGTCAACGATTTACATAGTTGAAGATGTGGCGGGGGGGGGGACACCCCTCACCATCCCTCTCCAAAGGGGGAATAGAGATGAAAAAACCGATTTGTACCTTCCTTAAAAGTTGTTCTAGCTCGCTATTCTAATATCTATATGCAATCTTCACACTGACGTACTCTAACGGAACTATCAACTCTATGCTTTCATCTACTCCATCTATCGTACAAAAATTACCACTACAGTCTGTTATTTGAAATTAGCATCTTCAACTATCTAAAATATAATTATGTTATAACACGTTACGATTTTTAAGTACTGTCCGCTTTATGATTTGAAATATAATTCGCGATTTGATCATTTACTGCCAACTTAAGCATGTGGCAGGATCATTTGTAGATAATTACTTAAGGAACATTTGTCTAGAAAATTTGAAAACGCTACCTGGATGGTTAACCCCTCATTTAGGTGAATTTTCTAATACTTAGGATGAATGTTTCAGAACGCCGCGCACCTTCGTGTTGCAAGCTCGCTGATTTCATGCATGGTACAACCTCATAAATAGAGCGATACCTAACAAAACTTGAAGCGCTAGGGCAAAAGTATATTTAAGACTTTAAGTCAGAAGAGCATAAGAAAGTCAAATGTGGTCAAAATTATCTGTCCTAGAATGCTAGAATGCCGTATTGTACAGTGTAGTCTCTTCAAAACTACCTTTAGTTCTCCTTACAATATTCTTGAAATAGTTCTCAAAATTACCTGAGGCTTCTTATTATATTGGGATTCTCCCCAGAATTCGATTAAAATAATCCCAAGAATGGCCACCCTGTACGATGAAGCATGGATAAAGGGTTATACGGTCAAAATTTGGTCAATATCAACTTGACGTATTTCTTTCAATTTTGCATTTAAAAAACCTGAACACCCCTCATTTTGAAGGTGTGTGTGTGTAGAATGTTGCTCTTATTTTGATTTTGGAATTCACTCTTCAGTTGTCAAAATGCCGTCCAAGCAAGAAGAGCAGCGTATCAAAATTTTGCTCGTGCATCGCGAAAATCCGAGCTACTCGCACGCAAAGTTGGCAAAATCGCTAAAAGATGCCAAATCAACCGTTAAAAATGTAATTAAAGTGTTTGGGGAACGTTTGTCGACAGCCAGGAAGTCTGGATCGGGGGGAAATCGAAAACCGGAAGCCGCTGAGACGACAAAGAGAGTTGCCGGTAGTTTCAAGCGAAACCCTAACCTCTCTCTCCGAGATGCCGCAAATAAGCTGGGTGTATCGTCTACAACCGTGCATCGAGCCAAAAAACGAGCCGGACTATCGACTTACAAGAAGGTAGTGACTCCAAATCGCGATGATAAACAAAATACGACGGCCAAAGCGCGATCCCGGAGGCTGTACACGACGATGCTGACGAAGTTTGACTGCGTGGTAATGGACGACGAAACCTACGTCAAAGCCGACTACAAGCAGCTTCCGGGACAGGAGTTTTATACGGCAAAAGGAAGGGAAAAGGTAGCAGATGTTTTCAAGCACATGAAACTGTCAAAGTTCGCAAAGAAATATCTGGTTTGGCAAGCCATCTGTACCTGTAGCTTGAAAAGCAGCATTTTCATAGCTCCCGGGACTGTCAACCAAGAAATTTACGTGAAAGAGTGTTTGAATAAACGTCTGCTGCCTTTCCTGAAGAAACACGGTTGTTCCGTACTGTTTTGGCCGGATTTGGCATCTTGCCATTACGGTAAAAAGGTCATGGAGTGGTACGCCGCCAACAACGTGCAGGTGGTTCCCAAGGACAAGAACCCTCCCAACACGCCAGAGCTCCGCCCAATTGAGAAATACTGGGCTATTGTCAAGCGGAACCTAAAGAAGACCAAAAAAACTGCTAAGAGCGAGCAGCAGTTCAAGGCAAACTGGCTTTCTGCGGCGAAGAAGGTGGACAAGGTGGCTGTACAAAATCTGATGGCAGGGGTCAAGCGTAAGGCCCGGCAATTCGGATTTGGAAAAGCGGAAGCCTAACTGAATATTTTTCCTGAATTTTATACTAATTGAACTTGAAAAAGAAATTTAATTTGATTTTTTAAATAAACGATTTAACCGATTTACACGCGTTTTCCCTTGACCAAATTTTGACCGTATCACCCTTTAATAATTCAAAATTCGTGTTCACAAGCGTGATGTGCTGAATTTAAGAATGTTGTAGTTTGTGCGTGGTGCGCATTATTCATGGGTGGGTATGGGTATTTTCGGAATCGGGTGACGTTAAGAGACCGTAAATCCATGTCCGACGCCATCTTTAAATTCAAGATAGCGGCTTCCGGATAAAGAACAACTGGGATATACTGTCAAATACCCTTCAATATGGGTATTTTCGGAATCGGGATGCCTTATAGAGACCGGAAATCGATGTCCGACGCCATCTTGAAATCCAAGATGGTGGCTTCAGGTTATTAAAAACTGGGAATTCTAGCCGCCAAAGAAGCTCAACCAAAATCATCATCAGCTCCGGCATCGACTTATCACAAGACTCCATCGAAGATCCCACATGGAAAACTTGAAGCACCGGTCGTTTCCGGACACATGGAATATTTACCACCCAGCTACACCGGATATAACTACTGTTGCACAGCCATCATTCAACCTACCACAGTATCCGGGTCAAAAGTACTTCATGGTACACTTAAAATACCCTTCGCCACAACCGGCGTCGTGCTTCTCACCAGCTGCTCAACATGGATATAACTCGTTTACTAATAATTCATACATAATACAGTATCGGATCGAAGGAACTTTCCGACCTACTCGCCTAGCCCTGCCATCTCTATCAAAGTCGTCCCAACGGGTCATGGCCGTACAACTATGATTCGTTCAGTCAGTACAAACCAACGATGATTTAAGTTCACGAAGTTCCAACGCACTCCTACGGAACACCTAGATGTTTTGCAACCAGAAGCCCCCATCATGGATTTCAAGGTGGCGTCAGACATCGATTTCCGGTCTTTATACGTCATCCCGATTCCGAAAATACTCATATTGAAAGGTCTTACTTACCTTACCAATCAGGCTAAGGCCTTGTTGTCCTCTGCTGTCCGAAGAAGTCGTCTCCACTCTACTCAATCCATGGCCACACTTCGCCAGTCTCGTAGTCTGCGAAGGGTCCGCAGGTCGCCTTCTACGTGGTCGATCCACCTTGCCCGCTGCGCGCCTTTTCTTCTTATTGTTCCTGTTGGGTCGCTTTCTAGAACAATTTCCACTGGGTCGTCATGCGGCATTCTTACGACGTGCCCAGCCCACCGTAGTCGCCCAATTTTAGCAATGTGGACGATGGATGGTCCTCCCAGCAGCTGGTGCAATTCGTGGTTCATACGCCTCCTCCACGTTCCGTCATCCATCTGCACTCCACCGTAGATGGTACGCAACACCTTCCGTTCGAAAACACAACACCAAGGGCGCGTTGGTCCTCCACGAGCATAGTCCAGGTCTCGTGGCCGTAGAGGACCACCGATCTAATCAACGTCTTGTAGACAGTCAACTTCGTGGGGCGGCGAATTTTATTCGACCGGAGCGTCCTCCAGAGTCCAAAGTAGGCACGATTCCCTGTCATAATGCGTCTTAGAATTTCTCTGCTGGTATCATTTTCGGCGGTCACCAGTGAGCCCAAATACACGAACTCATCGACCACCTCGATTTCGTCACCGTCAATCTGAGCTCGGGGTGGGTGGCTAAAATTGTCTTCCCTAGAACCTCTTCCTTTCATGTATTTTGTCTTTGATGCGTTGATGGCAAGTCCAATCCACCTAGCTTCAGCCTTCAGTCTGATGTACGTTTCCGCCATCGTCTCAAAGTTCCGTGCCATGATGTCAATGGCATCGGCGAAGCCAAGAAGCTGGATGGACTTCCTGAAGATCGTGCCACTCGTGTCTATCCAGGCTCTTCTGATCACACCTTTTAACGCGATGTTGAAAGTCCATCATCTTGTCGTAACCCCCTTCGAGCTTCAAAGGGACTCGAGAGTGTCCCCGATACTCGAACAACGCACATCAATCGATCCATCGTCGCCTTGACCAATCGCGTCAGTTTATCCGGAAATCCGTACTCGTGCATAATCTGCCATAGCTGATCTCGATCGATTGTGTCGTATGCGGATTTAAAATCGATGAACAAATGATGTGTGGGCACGTTGTATTCGCGGCATTTCTGCAGAACCTGCCGAATCGCGAAAATTTGGTCCGTGGTAGCGCGGGCACCCATGAATCCCGCCTGGTACTGCCCCACGAACTCTCTTGCAAATAGTGACAGGCGGCGGCATAGAATTTGGGAGAGTACCTTGTAGGCGGCGCTCAGCAGTGGTTGTTGCAGCAATCCAACTTGTCGGTAATATCTCCTCCTCCCAAATCTTGGCAATTACCCAGTGCAGCGCTCTAGCCAGTGCTTCACCACCGTATTTTAATAGCTCACTTGGTAGTTGATCTACACCAGTTGATTTGTTGTTCTTCAGCCGACCGATCTCCTCCTCAATTTCTTGAAGATCAGGGGCCGGTAGCCTGTCGTCTTCTGCGCGTGCTCCAAGGTCTGTTGCCGTGCCACCTTCGTTTTCTGCTGCTTCACCGTTGAGGTGCTCGTCATAGTACTGCTTCCACCTCTCAATCACCTCACACTCGTTCGTGAGAAGGTTACCGTACAAGTCCTTGCACATATCGGCTTGCGGCACGTAACCTATGCGCGAACTATTTAGCTTCTCGTAGAACTTCCGTGTGTCGTTTACGCGGTACAGATTTTCCATCGCCTCGCGATCTCGGTCTTCCTGCTGACGCTTCTTCCTTCGGAAAACCGAGTTTTGTATATTTCGCGCTTGTCTTTATCGCTCCACATTCAATCTCGTGCGGTGTTGCAGCATTTCGCCCGTGCTGCATTCTTCTCATCTACTAACAGTTTGCATTCGCCGTCAAACCAGTCATTTCTTCGGTCCGGGGGATTGCAGTACCTAGTGCCGCTGCAGCAGTACTACCTATGGCGGAACGGATGTCCCTCTAGCCATCTTCAAGAGAAGCTGCGCCAAGCTGCTCTTCCGTGGGTAGTGCAACTTCCAGCTGCTGCGCGTATATGGAAAGGTCTTTGACTGTATTTCTCAGTTTGTGTATATCCGCAAGCCGCTATTTTGGATTTCAAGATGGCGTCGGCCATTGATTTCCTCTCTCTAAACGGTACCCTGATTCTGAAAATACCCATATTGAAGGGTATTTGACAGTATTTCCCAGTTTTCTGCAACCGGAAGTCGCCATCTTGGAATTAAAGATTGCGTCAGACATCGATTTCCGGTCTCTATACGTCACTCTGATTAAAAAAATACCCATATTGAACGGTATTTGACAGTATTTCCCAGTTTTCCTATAATCGGAAATCGGTTGGTCCAGTTGCCCATCACTGCCTCTTAGGCCTAGTGGCATTCGGTCTAAAGATCCATCACAAAAAATATGCCCCCTCTATTACGAATCCTGGTTGGGTGAATCTTAAGGAAGTGGATTAATTAGAAATTTTCTTTCACAGGAAACTACGGAAGCACCCGTATTGACTGACCCGGAACCGACAAAACCACAACCGCAACCAGCCCAACAGCAGCAACCATCAGAAACTGCTAATACCAACAACACCACCACAACCACCACCAATAGCAGTAGTAGTAATAATGTAAATGAGTGAATTTCCCTCAAACCCTCCCTAACAATAGTTGAAGAGAATGCATATCCCCGCGCATTAGCCTCTAAATGTGGAATTGTGCGCGTCAAGCCAAGCGCTCGCTAGAAGCTCGCCATCTCAAAACCAATCATCGTTGTTGCACTGTGGATGTTCGTTCAGCATCAGTGGCACATTCCACCCGCACACTGACATTGGCATTCGTTGGCATAAGCAACCTACATACAGACAATTTGATCCTGCATCGTCGATGATGATGATGATGATGATGAAGTTACAAAAGGCCTTAACTACAACAGTGTATTGTGTTTGTCGAGGTACGTGTTTTTTGGAGTATACTCGAATTAGTCGTCGTCGTCTTTGTTGTTGATGTTGCTGTCGTGGTATGAGCAAAGCAACGTAGAACACGTGCTTTGTATGCTTTTAGTAGATAATACCTAAACACATACACACACACACACATACATGCATACAACTTTAGTGATGAAAAAAATAATCAAAAGATCACAAGCAATTATTACCATCTAATAGGCGAAATCCAAACGGAAAGTGAAGAGACAACGTTAGGAACGGAAGAAGAACATAGATAGGAACAGTGCGAGTCGATTAAACACCGGATTAAGTTTAACTTATTTCAAAGTGTCTCCAAAATGTATTTCTTTTTAAATCAATGTTGTTTATTTGTTCTATTTTATTTAGGTTCGTTTCTTAGGCGCAGAGATGTTCAAATGATAATTATGTAATGTATTGCGAGGAAGATCAAAGTTAAAACAACACAAACTAACGGAGGTTGATTCCGCGATAGACTTCTTTTTTGCTGAATTTTACTCAAAACCCATTTTCGTTTCCCCTTAAGATACGTATACGTTTCCACACACTCACACACTCATTAGCTTTTGTTTTTTTTTATGGAACCATTTCCACAAAGTTGCTACCGGGGAAATGTGAGAGTAAATTTTCCAATTTTATAAAACGCTAAAATACAGAAAAGTGCATAAATAGCAATAAAGAGGAGGGCAAGCGAGGAGCCGTTCAAACATGTTTATTTAAGTTATCCAAAATATTGATTCTTTTGTTTTTAAGCGAAGTGAAAAAAGTGAGAGAGAGAGAGAGAGCTTGCGAAAACGAGCGCGAGAGTGTTGTTCGTGGAGTAGCAATTTAGGGTTATGTTTATCAAGATTATTTTATTGAAGCACTCCGCGAAGAAAGCAAAAAACAAAAGAAAATCAAGCAAAAAATGCCGAAACATAGAAAGGATTTATTATTTATTGTATATTTTCGTTCCCATCTCCCAAAAGGCCCATTTTTTCTTGTTTAAGGTCATAACCAACAACGTTTATATTGATAATATATAAAGAATAAAACACACACACACACACACACACATAGGCAACCGTTAAGAAAAAAAGGACAGCAAATTCACTTAATACAAAAAAGCAAAGCAAACCCGAATAAAAGAGTGGAAGCAGATGTTATAGAAAGAAGGTAGTAAGTTGTAAATAGCAGCCTAATAAAGAAATACACAATCGCACTCTCACACTCAACGAAAACAGAAGCAGAATAATCCAAGTTAAACAAAACAAACAAAAATTAACACACATGTTAATCAACGTAGCGTGGCAAATTTGTAGAAGCAAACCAATGAGCAACAAACAAGCTAACACAAGCAGCGCATAATGTTAAAGAGTGTTTGATTAGGCAAACAAATTGGCACTGAACAACAGCAACAAAAAACCAGGGCAGTAGTTAACCATAGTTTGTGATACGCGCAGATTTTGCAAGAAAGCAAAGCATTTTTCTCCTTCGGTAAAATTTGGGATGAACACATACAAATATCGGAGAACCGTAGAAAAAAGTCCGTGCCAGGGTCGCCATGTTCCTTCTTTCCATCGCTATTCGTGTCATCCGTCACATGTACTTATGTCATTCCCACGCCAATGTAGAATTGTTGTACTTATGCTGTTTTATTTGTACGTGCAAAATTCAAAATCGAATCCTTCCACTAAGATGACCCACCACCGCCACATGGCGACCCTGAATGGCAGATCCTCCGGCTGACAATAATGTGAGGATTTGATTTTCTTTCGTAACAAATGTGCATTTTTGGATGATGCAGGTATGCGAAAAGTGGATATGAGCACGACTTTTTGTGGTGAGGTGGAAAATGACGTTTGTAAAGCGGCAAATCTGGCAACTCTGAGCACTAATTGTTGATGACTACTGAGCGAATGTTGAACATGTTCTTAAATTCAACCTTCTTAAATTCAACCAAATCTTCGTTTGGAAGCCTTGTCGGAATTTCTTTCGACACGTTTCTGAAATATGAGACCATTGAAAATAAAATCAAAGAATTTTCCTGGAAACTTATTTGAGTCTTGAATTTTCCATCGAAAGTTTCCCCGGATTAAAAAATCCATAGATGTTGAATCCGCCTTGGAGGTACCAATTAAATTTTCCCGAAACTTCCACTGAGCTTACTCTGGTCAATAATTTCCGAAATTCCGGAGTAACTTTTCATTTTTCGAAATTTGTCCCACATGACATCATTACTTGTTTCATGGATGCGACGCACAAGACTTTTGGAGTTGTACCGTAAGGTCTCTAAAGCTTCACATATCTAGGTCGTCTACCCCACAAGCCCTCTGGACTTGTCATGTAAAGCCGCTGGATTTGTTTCACAATACTTCAATTTGTTTTCACAAGGCATCTGAACTTGTTTTATAAGGGCTTAGGACTCGCCCCGTAAGGTCTCTGGATCTATCCCACAAGATGTTCGAACTCGTCTTATAAAGCTTTTTTTTTAAACGTTATTAGAGAGATTTTTAGCCGTTGGCTAGTTCTTATAAAGCTTCTTAAATTGACTCACTACATCTGTGGACCTGCTCCATAAGGCTTAATTCCTTGTCACACGATATATTGGGTCCTAGGGGGAGTTAAGACCTAAAGTATTGTTTCCACTACATTTCTGAATCATTCCCACAAGACCTCTGGTATTGTCTTATAAGCCTTTGAATTTATTTCACTACGGTTATTTCATAATGTGTCTGAACTGCTCGGATGCATCTTTGAATTTCCTTCACAAGACGTCACGTGACTGTATTTGTTCAACCACATATCTGAATTTGTTGCACTTGTGCCACTGTACGGAGGAGGTAAGTCCTAAGCTCGTCCTAGATCATCGTTCAGCACCTTAAGTTGAATCCTGGTTAAGGACTTGAATCCTGGTTAAGAACATGATTTACATACCATCCTTGACTGGAATCTATTGGGAATTGTCTAGGAGATACTCGTTGACGGGTCCTGGACGGAGTTCGAGGTTCATTTCTTTCTACCACCCTGGGTAGAGGGTTAGCCAGGGATCTACCTCCTTGACTGTCTCCCACGACTTGAAGATCGTGCTCTGTCGTGCTATAGTTGTGCCAAGGTCGTCGTCTGCGAAGAGTCCTTCCTCGCGTATTGGTAAGCTCAAAATTTACCTAGGTTCCAGAAGTTGAAGAAGAAGAGCTGACTGCAACTAATTCCTCTTCGCATATCAATAACTTGAACCATCTGCGAATACATGAAATTGTCACGACAACCACCAGAACAATTAACACTAGGAGTAACGTGAGTGAAAAGCTAAATTTAATGGCGGGAAGGATGCTTATATATTCTGCAGAATAACCTTGCATGACAAAGCGTAAGAGTGATCTTTCTTCTTGATATCTTCGTTTTTAGGCCTTCAAAAAGTTTTGCTGAGATTTGGCGGTCTCCTTGGAAAAATCTTCGAAGGGTCCTTAAAGGCTTTTAAAGTTCTCTTATACATTTTTAAAACACCTTCTGAGCATCTGAGTTATTTCTTGGTTCCTTCCAGTTTCAAACACATTTAAAGGTCCCTAGACAGTCCGAGACCTCTGCTGAGATATTTTGTGGAAGCCATTCTTGTTCATGCATTAGAGGAGCATCTTTTGGAACGCATTCAAGGTCTGCTTACAATGTCACTTGTAAATCCTTCTGCAATTTGGAGGTCTTGTGCTGCCTTCTTAGGATCCATGAATGAGTAAAGATGAGTTAACTTTGAAGACAGTTGAAATTGGGCGAAGATATTTGTAAATTGATGTAGACTTTCGAAGCTACATATTTTATACATCAGGCAATTACGTGCACCTTTTTATGATGGGGAAAATAGGATTAACTTGGCTCTTGTTTCGCTTCGTTAGGCTCTAAAGCCTTTTGAAGAACATCACGGAGCTAAGGAACTTTTTTTTTTAAAGAGTTGGTCCTTGGAAAAAAAAAATCAAACGTCGTTTTCCTTTTTTTCTTTCTGAAAACCCACCCAACCTGAACTGAGAAATGAGGTGAAGCGCTAAATCATTAGTGAGATCGTAAAAGTTTGCCTTAATTCAATGTGTACACGTAATTTTTACAATCGAAAACCCAAACGCCTTCCAATTTATTTGAGAAACTTTTACGAACTTTTGTACCAAGGTTTTCATTTTTTTTTGCGAGTCGTGTTTACCGATTCGGTGATGATTTTGAATTTACAAATTGTCAATGGTAACAGCAATTTAAATAATGCATATATCAACACAAACTAATCATTTCAAAGTTTACAACAACAGTAGCTCGTAGAAGTAATCAAATTTTGTATGACCTATTAACTAAAACCTACATCGTTCGTCAAAAGATCAATGAGAAAAATATAGTGCGTTTCATTTGTAATGGTACCTACCCATTTAAATACCAATGTTAGATTGACACCAAAAATTACATAACGTTCGATATAAAAAAAAAACCTATGCCATTTTCATTCGAAATCTAGAATTCTTTAACTTTTGCAAACTCCCGCCGTGCTAGTTTCTGCATCACTTTGTTTTGGACTGTAGCTAATTGTACCATAGAAGTAAATTAATCCTTATCACTCAATCTCACACACACACACAGACACATAAACACACCAAAAGCTAAACAGTTTTATTACAACTTCTACTATAAAACTATATTCTACTATTAAAGCGAGTAATCTGTAATCTGCGACGGTAAAAAAAAAGAAAACCACACAAGCCCACACTTATTCACAATAGGCAACGCCAAGCAAGCTAACAGTGAATCAAGCAAACACATACTATTATTGAAAAAAATTGAAAACAAAAGAAAATCAACGCTAAAAAAAGTGAAACAAGCAAAGCAAAACATTAAAGAAGAAAACAACAAAAAAAAAACAAAGTATTACTATCGAAGCATGTCAATTTCCTGCTGCTGTAAGGGAATACCCGTTCGTTCGTTCGTTCGTAAGTCGCGGTAAATTTGCGTAGTTTTTTTTTGTTTCCTTTTCGTGTAGATTGTATAAGGGGTACATACAACACCAAATGGGGAAAATTGTTAGTTGCAGGGCAACGAAGAATGTTTTCTGATTTTTATTGTTGTTTGTCGTAATTTGTGAGCAGCATGACGGCAGGCAGGGGACAACGAGTCTATCCAACTTCCCTGTGGCCGTATTTCCCATTTACAACTGTGCAATGGATTTTATTTAACTTTTATTTGTTTGGTCAGAGCAGAAGCCAATGATCAGCTTCGTTGCGGTTTCGAAGACTTTCGAACATATTTCCATTTCTTTTTATTGTGGGCAGTGTTTGTTCCTTAATGTGGCATGGAAGTTGGTGTTTCATAAATAAGTTCTTGTAAAAAAAAGCTGGAAGTATAATATTTAATAATGAAAGCGAAAGCGAAATTTAAAAAAAAGGTACATACAAAAATATATGAAAAATAATGTATAAAATTTAATGCGGTGCGATTGATTTTTGATGACCAGTCCTCTGTCTGTTCTTTGGTGGGTTCAATAAATAACAAGGAGTATAGGGAACCAGCTATACTACAAGCGCATCTTCTAAATAACACGCCAAATCTGTTTTAAATCCTCCGTCTAATCGTGGTATTCCGTTATCTTGATCGAGAACATTCGAAGGTCATTGTCATTTTCATAGCTCAGCTCAGCACTAAGATGGGTGAGAACCAACTAAACCTAAGTCTCGATATTGAAGGCACCATCGAATTAACCCATTCCTTCCCAGAAGGTTTTTTTTTTTTTTTTTGTTATTTTGATATTTTGAGGACGACGAAGAAGGATCGTCCCTTCGCGATTCAATAAACGGCGAATGAGAACGACCCAAATTTGAGTTTAGTTCACTCCTAATCGCCAAAAGTGCAGGAACTCAGTGATGAGTAAATTTGCCACACAACGTAGTGTGCGTACGATAAACTTCAGCAATCTCTATGTGATATAAACAATGTGAATTTATCGTCTCTTTCGTTTGCTGTTATATGGTTGACGGAGTGTGAAATCAAACTATGTCGTCCATTTAAACAGCGGAAGAACGAGAGAGATTTAAAATTCACACGGTCAAGTCGGAGGCGGAAAAGGATCAAATCAAAAGAATTTCGGTCGATGGCTGGTAGGTCGAGACGAGGGGCTTTCAATACTACGCAGTCTGCTGACTCAGTATTTAAAATCTTGCCATTACTGCATTCATTACTTTAAACACACTTTGAATTTCATTAAATACTTTAATTACTGGT